CAAATCTCAGATGTATGTATATTCTATCTTTGCTCTGTATTTTATTAGAATAAATAAATAAAGTTACATAAGTAAAATAATGCACAGAGATAACCTTTTTTCGGGATAGTGCTGGTGGATTTGAATCCCTCAATTTGGCGTATTCACAAAAGGTCCAAATAAAATTTGTATATACATACCTACTAGCGCTGTCAAACTATCGATAGTCAAGTCCATCGATGTTTTACGATAGTCTTAAGGGTGACTATCGATACTATCGATAGTATCGACCCATTTCATATGTTTTTTTAAATCCATTTATTTTTCGTTATCTTGCTCTTATAAATTTGTTTATTTTAGCGGCTCACGGTTGCATTTTAGAATCGAGAAATATTCACTCGCCGTGTAAAAAAAGCGATTTCATAAATTTTCCCTGCAATTCGCCTTTCGGAAATAAAAAACATTCTTTCGAAAGGCACTTTACATGCAAGGTGCCACTGCTCATGCAACTGCTTTCTGAAATTTCTCAATTTTACAGTCTACTGCATTGCCCGGTCTGACACGCTCTTAAGACGGCAATGTAACCCTGCTATTCCCACGCTTAAAATAAAAAATTACGCTTTTAGAAATAATGCCATGAACCAACTAAACAGATCACCCAGCACAGCAAGCGCGTATTTGTAATTGCAATTGAGAAAAAAAAAAAAAGTTTATAATGTCATTTTTTAATCGGTTGTTTCATTCATGCACATGGTTTCATTCCGTTTCACTCACATGGCGGCGAAAAAATTACGTCACTGCGAAAAATAATACTTGTTTCTCGCACACCGCCATGGTTGATCTTTCTTTATTCGTTCGTTCATGAAATAATGCTGCCAAATTTTGTTCTCTTTGAACCAATACGTGTAAAAGTCTAAAGCGCTAGGAAAGAGAATTCGCTATCAATAAAGCGATAGTGACGATAGTACTAAAACTATCGATAGTTATTTCAAGTGACCAGACTATCGATACTATCGATAGTATCGTCGATAGTTTGACAGCTCTAATATCTACGTATGGGTATGCCCGAGCTACGTTATAATTACCGCAATATTGTTGCTTTCTTTATGTGTTGCTGTTGAACCGAAATTCTTCTGAAATAATGCTGAAATCGCGCAATAAATATTTGTATGTTGCTGTTGCTTTGCCAATTTACAAGAATTAAAAAACTATGCTATATGTATTTTAAATTGTATGTTTGTATGCGTATTTATTATCGTTAAAAATTTCCATCGCATTATTATTCTACGTATTACTTTCTGTAGGTCTTTTACAATGGTCCTTTTACTTTCATTGTCTATTTAACTTTATAAACTAAGCTTAAATATAGGTACATAATTGAATTGTTTAATGAAAAAATAAAGCTACATATATCTTTGATACGGTCAATACAATAAAAATCATGTTACATGGTTTTATATTTTTGTTTTGTTAAGAGTATTGTTTAAATCTTCGCTGGTGTGATATATTTAATTAGTTGGTATTAAAACGTAAACAAACATGCGTTCCATTTAAATAGCACTTTTGGTAAAAAAAATTGCTTCTACATCTTTCCGCAGAGCTCTATCTTGTAATTCAATTAAAATCCGCACTTTCACATACCTCTTCCTATGGTCTTGGCAGTATTTGCGGTTTAACATTCAAGCGGTCGATTACATATTGTGGCATACATAGCGTTGGATTGATCGGCTTGAGTCCCTCGAAGCCCAGCAGCGAAAGCGCGCCAATTCCGAAGAGCGTGTGAAATATGTCAGGCAGATTGCCAGTACGATCGGCAAAACCACCCGTTTCGGTGTCTTGACAAGATAGAATGAATTCCTTCAGCTTTTCAGCGCTGATCCAATGCAAACGCCCCAATATAGTTAAGGATGAGAGCACCCACCACGAATAGCAGACGTCCGGTAGTTTTTCAGGGCGTCCGTTTAGACCGCCAGATGGCAATTGGCGTTCGCACAACCACCATCCTAACTTATCAATGTCAATTAAATGCAGTCTTTGCGTCAACGATAAAAAGCCCACACAACAGTATATGAGTCCGGCATGGGATTCAGCTCCTGGCTTTGAACCGAAACCGCCATCTGTTTGATTACAACACGACATGACGAATTTGACTGCACGATCAACGTTAATAGTGCCTTCCATACGTCCCAATAGCGAAACTATAGCGACAGCGCAAAAGCTAAAACGTGTATCAACCTCACCCCATTTGTCTCCAAAAAAGCTGCCATCAAATTGTTGTAAACCGATTACATAGCGTACAACAGCTTCACAGTCGATTTCATTCAATGCGTCATAAATGCAGAGAATTTGTATGGCCGACAGTGTGTACAATATGTGAGGGTCGTGACCTTCACAAGGCGAAAAGCCTCCTGTTATTGGGCATTGACAACGGCGTACAAAATCTATAATAAAAGCACGATCCAGACGATCCAACTGGTTCATAATGTCCAATGCTGTGACACCCCAATAGATGCCTGACATTCGCAGAAATTCGGTCATGCAGTATTCATAATCGTCCTGATCTTTTCCATGATTTTCAATATATTCCACATGCTTCCAAAAGTGCAAGTCCGAAATGCTCTTATCATTATTTGAGGCCACAGTGCTTGGCTTGGCAAATGTTGTGAAATCCATTTGTGTATCGTTTCTATGCTATCTTTAAATCGACTCCAATATGGCTTTTGGATATATTTATGTATAATGCTGCACTGATTAATTTTAATTTTAGTACTGCCAGCTAGTGTTATTGGTTAATTGAGGAAGCACAAAACAATTGTGATGTGCTGAATTGTTGGTACCCAATATTTGGTACCCAGTACTTGGTACACAATACACGATTTCAATACCCAGTAATTCCTTTTCGATTCTCGATGCCGATTCTTTACGAGAATCATTTTGTTCTGAGCTCAACTTGAGGTTAAGTTAAGAACGTAAATCTACAACTGGCCGTCCTTACAGGATACAATTTATTGCTGTCCAGTATAGGAATTCTGACAATCGCTATGCTAAATTTTCTTCTCTAAAATTCTTTAAATGAAAAGCAGTAGGGCCTAAAAGTATACAACATGGAAGAGTATCACATACGTTGCGTAATTAGCGAAATCTGGCAGTGTAGCGCGCATGCAACTAGATGTTGAGTGATGTTAGGGGTGTCTGCTATTCTTTTGGAGATTTTTGGCGATCGAAATCGTCGATATTTTTGCCGGATTTAATCACATACAAATTTTAGAAAATAAGCTATTTTAAATCAATTTTTGTTTTTATATTACAATATCAACAATCTTACCGTCACAAAGTGCAAAATGAAAATTTAGCTGTGAAACCAAAGAACCTAAATCTACGTTCTTTGATACTGTCAAAATCGGCACATTTTCAAAGTAACGAGTTGTTGCTTTTTATAGATTTACGTTCTTTGTAGATTTACGTTTTTTGACTATCGGGTCCGTCTTCAGTATCGAATTTTGACCTGCTGGCAACTCACCTGGCGAATGACAGCAGAAAGAGCAAGGTGAGTTGATTCGTGGAAGTAGGGTGGGTTCGAAATTTGAGACTTTGGTATCGATTATCGATACTGAGTATTCATTCTGGCATCGAGCTCATGGTATCGATACTGTAAAAGTATCAGGTAAAAAGTATCGATACTACTCAGCATAAGATTAAAATACGTTTTTTAGGATACTAAAATTATTTTATTCTCCAATCGTATGTCTAGTTATTTCCAGAGATTAAAACAATAAAAATTTAAAATATTTGATTTTTATTTCAATGCAGAACTTACTTTCACGTTAGAAGTAATTTTAACGTTAAATGTACATACATACATTAATATATACTTTCACGAATTTATAATTTTATTAAGAATTTTTGTAAACTTTTTGGGTATGCATTTTTGTAGCCTATTCAATTTTAGTATAATAATGTGCAAGTTTGAATTAAAAGTTAACGGTAGTAGGTAAAAATTCTGCATTCTCGTGAAATTTGCGTAAAGTTTTATGGCATTATTCATAAAAAATAAAAAAGGTTTATAAATTGAAAAATTTATGAAAATGTCCTTTTATTTTTTACTAGAAAGTGATCCCGTACTTTTCAATGTTACTCTCTCGCTCTGAGCGAATTTTCATTTTTTGACAGTTTTACTAGTCCGAGTCCGAGGAATACGGAATTGCACCTCATATAAGTCCCCTTTCAGGCACGTCAAGTCTTGCTTTCAAGTCTGCTCGTTCGTAGGCGCATGAGGTGAGAAGGGAGGGGAAGGGTACAGATACCTCAGTACCGTCAATTCGTTTCAAGTTTTCTTGTCTCTTTTGATCTTTTCGTTGCTTCCCATTTAAAGAACCAAGGACCTGAATTCAATTAAAGTTGACGCGTGTGGAAGCAAATAGAACACACAAAAGAGAATGCGAAAAAATTGCTTTCCAGACTTGACGTGTCTGAAAGGGGACTAAAGGCCTGTATGCAGTTCTCAAGAAAAGCTAAAATTCCATACAAAATGACGTACAAGAAATGGCTAAGAAATTTTCTTAAGTCAAATTTCCTTTAGGCAGTACGCAGTTCTTAAGAAATTTGCTATGCTTTTTACTACGGATTTCTTAAGTTTTTTGTGAAAAAAGAGCTCAAGGCAACCCAGGTTTGCAACAGAAATATATGCCCGTTCCATTATTTCTTGAGGAAAGAGTGAGGCAACAGGCTGTGAAGTATCGAAAATGTCAAAATTCCTTTGACGCACACACGAAATAATGGCAAATTTTTCTTGACGGATTTCTTGAGAGCTGCATACCAGCCTTAAGCAAAGAAAATTGGGTTGCCAATGGAAGAAAAAATGTAGAAAGTGTGTTTTTTAAAAAGTATTCGATACTACAAGTACTTTGCAAAGTATCGAGTAAAATTTGCAAATAAGGTATCGAGTATTAAAGTACTGATTTTTATACCCTCAGTATCGATTTTTACTCAATATCGATAGTATCGTTCGAACCCTACGTGGAAGTTGCAGCAGCAACGGCAGCAGAGGAATATATATTTATTCCACCTTTAATTTCACAAAATTTTGTTTTAATTCGTTGAAAAACGTGTGAAATTCGATGTGAAAAAAGGTTAAATCAATTTGTATAATTTGCTATTTATTGAAAATAGACTAGGAGAGCGCAAATTGTGAATTAGCGAAAAGCCATTGTGGAAAATTTGCAGTTGGAAGCAGCAAAGCAGCCACGGTTGGGTCAGCAAGCCTAAAAAGAGGGCGACAATACGATCATTCATTGCCACCAATTTGGAGTTGTTTGCACCATAAACAGTGGAAAAGAAAACAAAAATAAAAATAATATAATATTTACAGATGGATTATTCATGAATAAAGAAAAGCAAGGCGGAGCAGTAGCAGAGCAACAGCAGCACGGGCAGCGTAGAAGCGGACAAAAGACGAAAAGAAAAAGTGACTGAAATTAGTCAAAAAGGTCGATAGACAAATTGCTGTGCTTTTTGAAGCTTTAATCGCAGCATAAAATAGAAATTCGGCAAATTTCGTGACTGGATTAAGACTGTTAAAAGATCAGGAGCGTACAACTTTGTGCACCAAAATCTACAGGTCGCTGTCAGCCAGAAATGTCCAATGGTGACGAGGTTCTAGACAATTGGGAAGAAATTGATGAAGTTGGCGTGAGTAGTTTCTGTTTATGTAGTAATTGAAGAGTTTATTTTTAAGATAAAATTTTATATTCGTTTTATGTTTAGTTAACAAACACACTGCAGAAGATACAACAGAAGCAACGGGATACACAGCAGAAAACTGATAGTGCCAAACTGTGCTCAAATTTGCCAACAACTTCGGAAAACACACCTGCATCTTTATTAGCTGTGTACCCACAAACCACTAAACTAACTTCCACAGTTGATCCCGACCAATTTACGCTCTCCAAAGCTGATTTTCCAACATCTGCTGTCGCCGCAACCGTTCCGATGAAATTGCTACAGCGCAACGCATGTACAAGTAATACCACAGGTGGTAATGCATCAGTAACAACAGCTGGCACATCAGCCGATGCGGATTTGAAATCGCCGCTCGAAGATATGGCAGCCTCATTTCAGCCGGTAATGATGTTGCTACACAAACCGGCAGATGAGTACCAGTCTACAACATATGCAGCACCAACTAATTTGCAGACTGTGAAAATTTTGCGTCGCCCCACCCAATCGATGGAGCCGCGTAACAACGGCATAAAACCGCGTCAACCTATCAAAACGTTGCAACAGCGCGAACAGGAATATGCCGAGGCACGTTTGCGCATTCTGGGATCTGCGAAAAATCCCGAAGACGAAGCGGGGTAAGTAAAAGTATTGAGATTTAAGTACAGCATACAAATAAATTGATTATTTCCCCAACGTAAAACGCACTTTATAACTTTGTAGGGGGGCAAATACTTCGAATAGTACAGCGGCAACAACAACCGCCATCGTCAACGCAACTGCCAGCACAAACAATTCGTACAAGGGTAACGCAACTTCCCCCAAGGGGAATCAGTCTGGTGGCAATAATGGCGGCGGCGGCGGTGGCAATGGTTCGCCTCTAAACTTGTACAATAACTATTACAATCAGCAGCAACAACAGCAGCAGCAAGCTAATTATTATTACATGCAGCAGCAAAAACAACATCAGCAACAACAGCAGATACCACCCGCTTATAACACTCGTTCAATGTCAGCGCTGCTGCCACTTCCGCTACCGACTACGCTACAACACCAGCACCAGCAGCAACAACCAAAGGTGCAGCCGCAGACGCAACATCAAACATGGTCGCCTGTGGTCGGCGGCAGCGTATCGTCTACGGCCCTGAGGCAGCAGCAGCAGGAAAGTATTTTACGTTTGCCACGCGGACCTGATGGCTCGACCGGCTTTCAGATGCGTCGGTAACGCGGTTAAATCACACGCATTTGAAACACTCAAACGTCGCCGTCATCGCCAAAATATTTTGTTGCGTCTGTATGTTCAATTCCGATTTTTAATTGTCTAATACGTATACTTTGCTCGTTTATTTCTACCCTTCTTTTGTACTACCCCAACAATATCCTTTCGCATAATTAGTCGGACTGTCGTCCACAAATTCCAATTGGGAAAATAACTAAGAAATAACAACACTGGCTCTTTACCTTTATAGATTCTTCCAGCAATTTTAAATTTTTTTCTCAGTTCAAAATTCAAAACAATCTGTATAAACTACTATAACTGAAAGATATTCTAATCATATGTTTAAAAATATTTTTTTTTTATATACACACAATACATAAGTATGTATGTACGTGCTTATCATTTATAATTTTAAAAGCGTCGAAAACGAAAGATATTCGTTGGGTTTTTTGTTCATTAAAGGAAAGAAAAATTGTGCAACAAAATTGCATGAACGATTCTTATTAACGCAACTTAAAAGTATAAAAAATAAATTGTAACAGAAAACGGTTATGTAATTATGATTTTTTGAAATTTCCATTTTGTCTGGTACTATTGCAATCGGCATATGTATCCAACCAACGTATGTATGTATGTATCATGTTCATTTGAATTAAAGAAAGGTATTTTGGAAGAACAATTTTCAAATTATTTTACGATGCAACTGGTATAAAACTTTTTATCAGGGCCAGTTTTTCGTGCCAATAAAAACTTAGGTCAGAGTTGCCCTAGGTACCTCTCCCATCTTGCGACCGCCTCGCACTCGCGAAGCAGGTGTAAACCGGCGTTGATCTCTGAGTCTGTTACTCCCCTCCAGAGGTCTTCCTTGATTGTGCTAGGTACGAGCAGAGAGTTCTCATGAACTACTCTCTGGCAATAATCACAATGAGGTTGTTCACCCTTGCCTGGTTATCAGTCTTAGTCTATTGAAGGGTTATTAGTTCCCTAGATCTTTTGGTATTATAGCCTTCAAGAAGTACTTTAGCCTGCCTTAGCCCAGGTGGGCTCACCCAATGTGCTCTTCTTATGTAGGTGTACCACGTTGTCCACGATGCCGGTTTCAACTATGCTTGTGCGAAGTAGCCTAGCTATGCAATTGCCGATAGTTGTCTGCACATTACGTTTTTCAAGTGCCCGGTCAACACCATCATGAAGGCACAGAGTACTGTCTCACCACACTCAACGGCGCCTTGTACTTCCGTAGACAGGGCATACAGGGCAGGGTCCCTGGACCTACCCGCTCTGTAGGCATGCTGTTCAGGATGCAAAGGCGCTTGTTTCAGGTTGTTGTACTTGATTTCATGGTCGATAACTTTCTCCATTGCCTTAAGCAGAAAAGACGTTAGACACGTTAGACTTATCGGCCTGAAGGACTTAGCGAGAGAGTAGTCTCTGTTTCCTATCTTCGGGATAAAAATAACCCGAGCCCTTTGCCACACCTCGGAGATGTGTGGAAGTAGGATCTCCTTNGCGTTAGACTTATCGGCCTGAAGGACTTAGCGAGAGAGTAGTCTCTCTTTCCTATCTTCGGGATAAAAATAACCCGAGCCCTTTGCCACACCTCGGAGATGTGTGGAAGTAGGATCTCCTTACCTTGGTTCAACAGCACTGGACTTATGCCATCCACCTCAGGAGATTTATACCGCTCGAAAGAGTCCAAGGCCCAGCACACTGACCGGTGGGTGAATAGACTCCTATCCAGCTTCCAGTCCGCTGGGGATGGCTTAATCTGTCGGCATGAGAGCTCCCCCGAAGTCGGAGTGGCATCCGGGAAGTCTGCCGAGAACAGGGCAAGTGCCCTCCCCTTCTTGTTAACGGAGTAGGTGTCAAGGCTTTATGCAGCCTCACAGCTGCAGGGTTCGATGGAATACCCTCACAGAACTTCCTGAAGCTACCACCTTTGGCCTTCCTGATCTCTTAACTGTAATTAGTTAGATTGGCTGTATACTCTGCCCAGTGCCCTGTACGCTGGAGTGAAAGGCATCAGTTATAGAGCCGTTCATACAGTCGACGTTCCTGTTATTAGACTGAAAGTCAGTTAGGTTTATCCTTAAGGTCTCGCCTGCTTTGTCCTTTGTTCCCCGTACAAATTGGATAATCCTGTGGTCTGACAAGGAGAGGGCCCCGACGAGACCCTCCATAGAGTAACCGGAGGTACCTCTTCCCTAACCCTCGTAACGAAGATCAGTGTTTGGCCAACATTGTGGATGTTAAGTTCCTCGCTTAGAATCTACTCTAAAAGACACTTACCTGTAGGGTTTGTGTCCGTGCTGCCCCACTCTACACTGTAGCATCGCATTCCAAGATAAGTGGGAGACATCTCCTCTTACAGTACTCCGCCAGTGGGTGTACCTCTTGTAGTGGCACGTTATTATTGTCCCCTGGGAAGTAGGCCGCAATGAACACGATCTCCAAACTTCCGTCACTTGGCGGTAGCGTCATTTGCCATGCGACCAGGTCCTATATTAGAATTAGAAAAATAATTAATACTTTTATTAAGTACTGCACACGCTCTAGGCCTCTCGCAAGAGGG